AGAAAACGTGCGCGAAGGAGCTGTCACGGACTTGCATGCAACAAGTGTACGAAACACGGAGATGTCCGCTGTCAACAGGTCATGGACACCACGTAGCTGGCTGAGGACGCCTGTCGTCACACGACCAGAGCGCTCCGTCACCGCCCGACCGCCCTCTCCAGCACCTCCAGACGTAAACACGCCCTCTACAAGAATAAAAGTATATTTGGCAACGGGCGGCGTGTGCCACGCGTCTGGGCGCGCGCTGGAAGCAGCCGGCCGCGGCGGGGCCCGCCGGTCCGGAACCGGGCGCCGGCGGCCGGCGCGGCCCCAATCCCGGCGGACAGCGCAGCCGGCCCGCCGGCGCCCGGCGCGTGGCCACGCCAGGGCGACGCGACGCGGCTGCACTGCCCGCCGCCACCGGTGGAATGGGCTTCACACGCCGGTGTGAGTCGTATTAACGAGCGGGATGCGCTCCGGTTACAAAGTGCAGTCGAACTGATACGCCGTAGCTTTAGCCTGTTGCGCAATGCTGCGATCCTACGCGTAACCTGCCAGTGGTGGCGTCTCTACGTACTGAAGGTGCAGCTACAAAAAAAAATCAAACTGCACGCATGGACAACATTGGACACTATCTATCGCTTCATCCGAGTGCTCACTGGCCAGAATGAAAAGAAGATGAAACAGTCGAGTGTGCACGCAAGGTCGGCCTGCAACAAACAAAGCCAGATTCGTACAAACGCCGTGGCTCCGGGGAACACCCATGGATACACCATAGCGACGACGCCACGCTTAGACATGGCTCAGCTTGGTACACTGCATAAAATCGTTAGACTATTGCGACATCTGGCAACCGAATTTGGTGGGAGTTTCTAACACGCCGCCAATCATTTCCCCGAACAAGACACACAAAGTGCGGGTCGTCGCCCATGACGAACAGCATGAGTTGAGTGGCCTAAGCGGATGACTAACAACGACGAGCATTAACACAGCTATGAGGAAGCATAGGTCGAAGCAATGCTCTACAATGGGAATCGTCCCTTTGTTCTTTCGCCGCGAGCTGCTCTCACATCGGTGCGTCACTCCACGCAACCAATAACATGTGGCATGGCCCGCACAGACGGGCGGAAAAAAAACGGAGTGTTAAAAAGACATCGTCCACCAGGCACCGTAAGGAAACAACGTTCGCACAATCTTTGAGCACGAACTTCAGACGCAGCATAATCTCGCGCTGGAACGACGGACAATAAATAAGCATCATCACGTGGCGTCTACCAAGCAACAGCAGTGACGTAACGGCATTGAACGGACCCTACGCATTCCTAGCATTCCTACGCCCACAGACAGCATGGCGGCCGGACGGCGCTCACTGGCCGCTGGTCAGCAGGTCGTCCCGCTCCGACTGCGTCAGGGAGCCGCTGTCCACACTGGCCGTGGAGCGGCGCCGGCGCGGCGAGTCCAGCTCGTCCAGCCGCTTGGGCAGCAGCGGCGTGCCCGCCTCGGACGCGCTCGTGTACTGCGACGTGCTGGCGCTGCTGCTGTCCAGCCGCAGCGCGGCGGCGCTGTCCTCGCACAGCGCCAGCTCCGGCGGCGGCGGCGGCGGCGGCACGGGCGGCGCGGCGGCGGCGGCCAGCTCGCCGAGCCGACCGGCCTCCGGCCCGCCGCCGCCGCCGCCCAGGCGCTGCACCTTCTGCACGCGAGCGTACAGCTGGCTGAGATCCACGGCGGCGGGGGCGGCGGCCGGAGCCGCCGGCTCGGCGGACGCGGCCGCGTCCGCCGCGCCATCGCCGGCCGCTAGCGGCGCAGCGCGCACGCTCTCGTAGCCGATTGTGTCCGAGTCGGAGTCGGAGTCGGGCGGAGCGGGCCGCGCGATGCTCTCGTACGGCGGCGAGTCGGAGCGCCGGATGCTGGCGTACGGGTCCTCGGCCGGCGGCGGCCGGTCCCAGATGCACGAATACAGCTCATCTGTGTCGCTGCCCGCTTTGCCCGGCAGCATCTCGTAGTTGGGATCGGCGCCCAGCTCGCTGCCGAACCGCACCGACTCGTAGAACGACTCGGCGTCGGAGGGCGGCGGCCGGCCGCCGCGCGCCCACCGGACCTCGTCGTACACCTCGCTGGCCGCCGGACTGCTGCTGATCTTCTCGTACAGCGGGTCGTCGTCGCGGCGCCGTTGCACGCGCTCGTAGTGATGCTCGCGGCGGCGCGGCGGCGCGCCCGAGGCGGCCGACTCGCCCGCCGGCCGCAGCACGCGCGCGTACCCGGCGGCGTCAGAGCCCGGCGCGGCGCCGGCCGCCGAGTCGGCGCACCGCACGCGGTCGTAGCCCGCCTCCGGCTCGTCCTCGTCCTCCTCCTCGTCGTCGTCGTTGCGGACGGGCGGCGCGCGGCGCGACGCCTGCGTCTCGATCGACTCGTAGTTCGGGTCGAGGCTGGACTCGCGGCGCAGCACGGGCCGCGGCCGCCGAATGGGGTCCCGCACCACCTGCGGCGGCAGCCAGACCCTCAGGGCGCCGTCTCATCGGCACTGGGCGTCAGGCAGCCGACGGCACGGCAGGAACGCGCCCTCGACCGCGCTGCCGTCGCTGTCCGGGTCACCGTCAAACATCAAGCCACAGACAATCGGCGATGCCTCGGTGGGCCACAACAATCGGTACGCTCGTCATGCTCGATTCCGCTCAGGTCTACAAACGCCCAAATGAGGGAAGAAAGCGACTTGCGCGTCACACTTGGGGATCATGCGGCCGTCGCCGATGGAACCCTCCCCCTGCCCCAGCAGCGATCGGCGACACACACCGCCCGTCCCGCCCCTCCGTCCCGGACCTCAAGCCGGGCCGGCTCGGCCACTCGCCTCGAAGTCGCTGTAATTGACGATCTGTGCGCGTGGCTCAGCGGCGGCGGCGCCTGGCGGTGACGCGGCGGCCGGCGGACCGCCGGCGCGCGGCGTCTTGTGCACCTTGGCGTACAGCTGGTCCAGGTCGGGCGGCAGCGGCGGCAGTGGTGAGCGCGCCGAGCGCCGGTCGGCCGGCGGTGACGTGCCCGGCGACGCCACGCTCGAGGACGACGCTGCCGGCGCCGCCAGTGGTGACGTCACACAACGAGCCGCGCTGCTCGCGCACGCCAGAACAGAGAGGGGACAGAGGAGCCCGCGGCAGCACAGCGCTGACGGTGGCCGGACGCTGCGGATGCTACCGGGCTGCGTCGTAGCTTCGAATCCGACGGCGCGTTGGCGACATTCGACGCCGGCGCGGATCGACGCATTCGACGCCACGCGCGGCACGAAACTCCTGCCGTGCCTCCCCTAGTGTCAACGACCACCACATCCTTCCGCGGCCGCATGTGACCAATCGACAAATCTGTTTTGTCACCGCTTTCGACCATCAGCATTCAGTCGTCATAAAACTGGTCGGTGTCGCCTACACGCCCCCTACGGCGGCGTCCACGGGCGCCATCTATCCGCAGAGTGGGCCAAGAACTTTGTCAGTAGGTCAGACGGCCACAAAAGGTGGATGGCGTATGCGGAACAAACAAAATAAAAACCCCAGGTGCCGCAATGCATCTGTTTCACAAGCAACAGCTTATTTGACCCCGCCTGGACGCCAAGTGGCGTCGGGTCAGTCTGTGTGCCGTGGAATATCATAATCGCCGGTCATCCCAGCAGGTACGGAGACGGGGCCGGCTTCAGCTTCAGATCAGCGAAGTTGCAGTCTTCCTCTATGACTATTGGGTTTAGCTTCCACTTGGAGACCTCCATAGCTGGTGTCGACTTAGGCTTCGGTTCATGCCATTGAAACGGTTAGCTTTAGCCTCGGCTTTGTGTTATTCTCAACAGGTGGCTTCGGTGACGAGCAACTTCTGACCTATCGCTCATGCATCGGTTTCATGCGGCCTTCAACTGCTCGCACTGACTGTTAACTTTGCTCACCGCGGTTGCGACTTCATTTAACAAACAAAAATATTGTCCATCCGGTCAACCCAGCACTCGATGTCGCCCGCAAACTGATTCTTCCAAACGCTGGGCCAAATGCACCTCGTCTTAATCGATTCGCAACTACTCGCGATAACCCAGGGCCCCATTCAATTCAAAAATAGATTTGGCATCGCAAAAAAGCTGACCGCCAGTCGTCAGTTTCGGCTTCAGGATTTAATGGTTTTGTCTTTGCGTTTACGCAAAGTTTGGAGCATGGAAGCCAAGGTTTCAGATTCCATTCAACAAATACGACGCCACTGGCTTTAGCTTTGGCTCCACAGTTCCAAAACTTCAGACGCCGTGTCTGGCTCTGACTTCCGCTTCCTGTTCTTGTCCTGATTTTGGATTCGGCTTCCAAGCCAGCATCCTTACTCGCTCCCAAGCCTGCGTCCAAGCCACTTCGTTTGCTGTGTTCAGAGGCCAAAGGGTGGGACAAGACCTCAGATGCACGATGCACCTCAGACCACGTGTGAAATGAACCGCGATGGTGATGCTCTGAGTACACAATGACACAATGCGGCAGTCTGCGATGTTATCACACCACCCGATGAAGTCATCAACAACACGTCTGTGTTTACAAGCGATCGGTCAGTTTCCACCAAACAACAGCCGCCGTTTCGCGGTTACCGAACAAGTGACGCTGGCGGACCGCACCCACCGACCAAGCGCGTCAGCCGGCAGGGCAGGCAGGGCGGCGCCCCGGCCGGCCGCCGTACACACCTTGTCGGGAGTGGACGAGCGCCTGGCGCAGAGAGTCGACGCTGGGCGGCGGCGGCGCGCCGGCGCGCGGGCCCGCCTCCCCGCTCGCCGCCCGGCACAGCGTCGCTCCTGACGGCACGGAAGGCGGCCGGTCAGTCGACTGCGAGGGCGCTGGCGACCCGCGTGAACGCCACGGAACGGGGAGAACGTGCAACACACGACATGACACGCTTGTGGAGCCGATGAGCAGCACGGCAGCGCCTCCGGGCCCGACTCCGTCCCGCACCGCCCCGCTCCCAGCCGCCCCGCGCCTCCTGACCTGCGCTGGCCGCGTCCGCCGGACCGCCGCTGTCCGTCTGATCGACCGCCTCCTCGGCGGCGGTGGCGGCGGCCGGCTCGGCGGTCGCCGGGGGCAGCTCCGTCCGCCGCCGCCGCTCTGGGATCGCCTCGTACATCTCATCGTCGGAGCCGTCGACGGTGGCGTAGAAGTTGTCGGCGGGCGGCGCGGCGCCCGAAAGAGGCCGCGGCGCGCGCTCCGGGCTGGGCCGCAGCGCCAGCTCGGCCGCTGGCTCCCGCACAGTGATGCGCGTGTAGCCACCTGGCAGCGGCAGGCCGGTCAGCCGGACCTCCGTCTAGACCACTCACGGGAGTCATGAAACCATCGTCGAGACTTCTCACGTGAGTCATGAAGACCTCCATCAAAACCAACTACGGGAGTGATAAGGACCTCCGTCGGGACCACACACGGAATTCATGAGGACGTCCGTCGGGAACACTCGCGGGAGTCATGAGGACTTTCGTCGGGATCACTGACGTGGGTCATGAGACCTTCGTCGGGACCATTCACATGAGTCATAAGAACCTCCGTCGGGACCACTCACATGAGTCATGAGGACCTTTGTCGGGACCACCAACGTGAGTCATGAGGACCTCCGTCGGTACCGCTCACGTGAGTCATCAGGACCTCTGTCGGGACCACTCACGTGAGTCGGCCGACTGGACGCTGTCGCCGCTGAAGTGTTGCGCCGGCGCCGCCTCGGCCGACAGCCGGTGGACGGGCGGCGTCATGTAGGGGAGCTCCTGCGAGGCCGGCACGCCGCCGCTCACCGCCAGCCGCGCGGGATGTCGCCGCTGCCCTGCCAGCGTCACAGCACGACAGCGTCAGCGCACCAGCAGCAGACAGACCCCCGGCCGTGGCGGGATGTCGCCGCTGCCCTGCCAGCGTCACAGCACAGACAGCGTCAGCACACCAGCAGCATACAGACCCTCAGCCGTGGCGGGATGTCACCGCTGCGCTGCTAAGGCCACAGCACGACAGTGCCACCGCACCAGCAGCAGACAGACCCCCGGTCCTGGCAGGATGCCGCTGCTGCGCCATAGCACAACAGCGTCACCGTACGAGCAGCAGACAGACCCCAGCAGTAGCAGGCCGTCACTGCTGCCCTGCCAGCGCTACAGCACGAATCTACTAAAGCCCCAAATGTTAATTGACTGAGACATACAGCGTGTCGAATTCCCCCTTCCCCCCCCCCCCCCCCGCCCCGAGGGCGAAAACACACAAACGACGCAGCGAAATTTCTTAACGTGTTTCGCCTTTTCCGCATTGTCCGACAAAGGCAAACATGCAGACAGTACATTTTGACTGGCCACATTTTATCGATTAGTAAACATCCCAAACGGCAAAACGCTGCCTTCAGGATTAATGCGTCGCGTATCTCCGGGACATTTATTGAGTGGTATAGATAGATAAAAGATGAGCCTTTATCACATCTGCACAAGTGTTTTAACCACGGCTGCCACGGACCGCCTGCCCCGAGCAGTAACTTGCGCGTGTGCACCATACCGTCCCGAGCATCAACACCGTCCAGCCTGCCAGCAGTCATAAACAGATACACCGACCATGACCTCAGTGACCGGTCACATCGCTACGAAAATAAGCGACGCAAACGCAACGTCAATATAACTTCCTGTTTGTGAGTCTGTTTGCAAGAGGACGTGACATTCACCGAACCAGATGGCCCAACAGTGCTTAACAAGCTTCTTATGCATGGTGTGATACAGGTTGAGCCTTGCTCTTTCTCCCTGTCCCTCAACCACTCAAAGGACGTTCCGCAGTCACGCGGTGTAAGGCAGTGTATGTCCGCGACCGCGCCGGAACCATCTATTTATCTCTGGCTCTGCTCGGAGGCTGCAGTCACGTCACCGCCCGATCAATGCTCCGACTGAGGTCTCAGTGGCGACCGAGCGTGCCTGACGGGGAGCGCCAGCGCTGCGCGTTCGCCTGCCGTCGGTCCGGCGCCACGTCAGCGCACGGCGGCGGCTGCCCGCCCCGCAGGCGCGGCCGACTGTGACCGCGTGCCACCGGACGCCAGATAGGATCAGCGGTCGCGACCGGGAGCGCCACTCACCGCGCTCGGGTTCCGGCTGTGGCCCGCGTCCGTCGAGGGCGGGGGCGGGCCGCCGTGTCGCTCCGACCGCGACCTGAAACGGCGCGCCGCGACAGTCAGCTGCGCGCACGGTGACGCAGGCGCGTGCAACAGGCAGCTGGCAGCAGTCATGGCGACCGATGCTGCAGCAGTTACCGACCGGGCACGGCGTCACTTGCACGTCCACACACTAACGGACGGAGCTTAACACAGGACAACGTGATCACGGCTCTTGCCTTCCGTTCGGACATCCTGCGCTCCATAACACGGGCAGCAAAATCTGTCATCCGACACTAGCAATGCGCCGTTCGTGGGTCACAGGCCGACTCGCAGATCCTCCATTCTTCACCGACGTGCCCGTACCTGGCCAAGTCCGGCTGCTCGTAGTAAGTGTCTGCCTCCTCGTCCTTCTCGTCGGCGGCGGCAGTGGCGCGTTCCCCCTCTTGGAGGGCGGCGGCGCCAATGGCGGCAGGCGGCGGTGCCGGCCGCGCCTCCGGGTCAGACACCACGGCGTACAGCTCGGAGGCGTGCTCGGAGGGGGCGCCGCTGCTTCGCCGCGCCGCTGCCGCCGCCGCCGCCTCGGCAGACGTCGGGATTTGCGGCAGCTCGCGGTGCAACGCCGACAAGCTGTCGGGGCGCCAGCGGCTCGTCACCAAGCCAGGCTATAGTCTCGTCACCAGGCCAGGCTATAGTCTCGTCACCAGGTCATGCTAGGTCTCATCACAAAGCCAGGTCATGGTCTCATCAACATGTCGCGCCAGGTCTCATCACCATGTCGCGCCAGGTCTCATCACCATGTCGTGCCAGGTCTCATCACCAGGTCATGGTCTTATCACCAGCAGCTGTCATGCATGGCCATCAGGTTGGTCACCATGTTTCCACACTATCCGGGCGGCCGGACCAGCCCCAATTATGCATCATGACCAGGACTGCATGAGGTTCAGACACGACACATTGGCAATGAGTTAAAAATGGGCCCGCCTAATGCCACTTTTTACGCATTTATGTTCATACAGTGAGGGCATCTGGAAAATGGCAACGGCTGGCACATGTTGAGCACTTGACCTAACAAAGCCAGCTAGGTATCTTGAGGTCAAACACTGAGGTAGACTATCAAGGCATGTCTCTACAGTCACACATTAAGACACTGAAATAAACAAATGCATCTGGCTACCTCGACCAACACCCAAACTCACCGCATGTTGTTGCTGCTTTTAGACTGGGTGCCTGTGCCATTTGAAGTAGTCCCATCATGGCTAGTGACCTTAATTCTGCCAGGCAACCCTAAATTTTCAGCACTGGAAGTTAGAAATATCAACATTAGGAGGCATGGCACGATCTGTTCATCAATGTACTGTAGATTAGAAATACACCATAATGAGGCATGATGTAATTTCTCAGTCAATGCAACACAAATGCTGTAAAAAAATAAAATGAAACACTAGCTCATTTATGACACACTGTGGAGCATGTATATTGTGCAACACAGCATGCTTACATGGCCAGCACCAATTACTTTTGAAGTTCTGTGTGAGCCTGCAGTCTGCTTTCTGAGGCACACACCATGTCACTCAGTGAAATTACAAAATAAAAATTTAAAATCAGACCAGAGTAAACAGCACCTACCTTGGATGCTTCTGTTTCCAGCAGACACAGGTGGCTATCATTAGTATGACCATTAGCACAGCCACCATGACCACATACTCCAGCTGGCCTGCTGCTGAGAAGGTGAGCATGGCCAATCAAGGCTGAACTTGCCCAGCCAGACTGGCAAGCATGGGCATCACCTGCGACCTTAGCCAGGTGGCTCGAGCATCGCAGCAACAGAGGCCAGATCCTGGAAAGACAATTCAAAGTAGTTGAGGTTCTACATATATAGCTTCAGATATAAGCATACAATTCAGTCATCCAAGTTTGCAAAGTATGTCACATTTACGAGCTATCTGACCACATAAAACAAACATTTACAAACATTTTGCCAATTTAACCAAAACTTTTTAAGGGTTCAAAGAAGCTCAGAGGTCTAAAGGTTGCCAAGATGGCTATGTTACATATTGGTAAATCAGTTGTGTGTGTACCTTATCAGGAAAATAATCTTATGTGTCATGGATGATGTGGCCTCATCAAAAAAGAAGAGACCAAGCAAATAGCTTTCATGATCCTACATCACCTCTATCTTCCCAACTAAATGAGCCAATTGCATGAGTAAGGGACAGAACAAACATTTATGATGGAGTCAGTATGGCTAGCAAATGTCACATGGGCTCTTGCTTCATGAGGTGCCTAACTTCACATTTCGCACACCAGACCAGCCATTCACCATCTTTGAATGCCACATTATCAATTATGTTCTATATTGATCCAGGCAAATATCAATACATATATTCATCCACCACATCATCCATAGTTTTTTGTATTAACCATGACAATGCAAGATATTTTGTTGATTTCAGCAATGATCTACTTATTGTCAGTCACTGACATGACTTCAGATTATTATCTTCATTTTTTATACTTGAGCAATGATCTATTTAATAAAATGGCTTCAGATTTCTATACCAGTTTTTTATTACCACATATCATTACTATGCATTACACATTTTTGGTATGATTACTATGCATTTATGCATGCATGCATGCATCCCTTTGATGTACAGACACTGCTCAGAGTGAATCATGAACAATTTACCTCTGGTTACAAAAATACATAATTGACCTATACTAGGGCAATACTTTGGGCCCATTAATCATTTGCAGCTTGAGATACCTAAGCCAATAAAATGAGACAAACTTTGGCAATACATAATTTGCCACATAATTCATGTCAATTGCAACTATCAGATAGGACCTAATGACTCAAACCATTTAGCATCATATTTACTACCTTTCACACCTTATTGCATGGTGTTTAATATCTTCATAAAGTGTGGCATAATGAATCTATAACTATGAGTGATAACACGATGCAACTGCCAAATGGTTATAGCAGGTTATCCGCACACAAGCCATAGCTAGTAGCACTAGCACACAGCTTTAATAAAGGGTTTACTTGGGCAAAACTAGTGAACGGTTAACACCTTCAAACATACAGTTGTATCAGTGAGTTGTTCCGGGGTTACAGGTAGGCATCAGCACCACGATAATTCTTGCCGCGATTACCACACTGGGACAAGAAAAACCACGAGCAATGATCGTGTGACCATAACTTCCACCCTGGAATTGAGTACTTACGGATTAAAAATAGCCCAGATGTCAACAAAATCACGCTGATGTATTCTCTCGCACGCAGCTTTATTCACGAAACCTTTACAGTCAGTTGACCCACTGGCGTACCCCTCCGACACCCCTCCCATTCCTCCCGGAAAACAACCCAAGACTAGGGAAATTCACCAAGCGCATTGTTCACGCAGCGCGAGCTGCTGCTTGACGTCACTGGAAGTCACATCGTCGGTGGCCAGAGACGGTTGCCGAATAGGTGGTGGAATTCTCGGCTGCCGGATGCCCTGGGTTTTAACCTGATTTTAAGCGGGCTCAATATTGTGCCACAGGCCTCATACGAATCGTCCATCTAGCGTCATCACGGCCGTCGTCATCGTGCCTTGCACATAATTGATTGAGAGCCAATTTATGGCCGTCATATTAGGAAGTCGTACTCACGACCGCCAGCAATGAAGGACATAACAATTACATTTTTTTTGGCACTGATCGCTGGATGGCCAATGGAATGACAGGATTTAACGGAGTTATTACGGCGTCATGGAAGCCTGGGTGGCCTTGAAATCTTCTCCGGAATAGTTTGCTTATCTTCTCGGGTGTGTGGCTCAGAAACTAACTAGCAGACCCGAAAAAAAACTGTTTCTGATAGTGTGTTGGGACTTCTCACCCATGTCAGCGTGCCCAAATTGCCCCTGCAAATGGCGTCAAAATACCAAAATGACACCAGAGCCTCGAGGGAGCCGAAATCAGGGACAAACTTATATTATTTAAGAGTAGGTAACTAAAATTGAAAAGGGTCTAAACGTCAGTCGTAAGTCATTCGTGAAATGCGTTCTTTTTTTGCCCCGATTCATGAATTTCGTTACGCCACTAGCTCATATCCGGAATCGCCTGTAGCGATAAGGTCATGCTTTCAGAAAATCTGGGGAGGTGACTGGTGACATCACACAACATGATGGGCGAAAACACGGCACTGTTGGCACAGCACACCATGATTTATGGTCGAGCGAGGCAATGCAAGCCTCGCGTTTTTTGTAGCACCAGCGAAGAGCTCTCAAACGACACCCAAATGATTGCCCCGTGCACAGGTGGCCGGCTTCCTGGTCGGTTATTTCACATCACACTCACAAGCATAGCCGTAGGAGCGTTTCACGACGAGGGGGCCGAGCTCAGGGCGTACTTCAGGAACTTTTTCTGGAAAACGAGCCCGACGGCCGGGTGTGGAGGGGGGGGGGGGACAGAGATGGAGGTTATCGCTCTTTATTCAAATGTAATAACTCCTATTCTAGATATGCATCTGTAGCTGATTCTCACTGGTGCACACTCTTGCCTATCCGACTCATCTATGTCGTTCTGGAAATAAGGCTATCCAGCTTCCCATGATCATTCGTCCATTTCCACATTGCCTTTCCTGGGGAGCCGAAATTCTACGAGCGGGTAGATATTTTGGGTCATTGAGGAGGCATCATCCGCAGGGTAGATGCAAAAATATGGTCTGAGCATAGGCTGATGAAAATTCTGAGAGTCAGTCGATGGCTCACAGTACAACAGATTTTGCACGCGCATTCATTTCGTTGGTTGCTTATCAAGAGATAAGGACTTGCCGCGGCATTTTAAGCGGAAACAAATTCGGCAGCTTGAAACTGCCAAAAACCATGCGACAAAAGTCATAGAACTGGAAATTCTCCTTTGAAAACCAAGCCACAGAATGAATGCCATTCTGTCCTATATCCTTGTCTGAACCGTGCTCCCATCCGCCGTCGGTGGCCACTGTCCTGGCCCGGCTGTCTCCGAATGGCTGACCGCGAAATAATGGTATGGCTGCTTTGTTGTACATTTCTGGATCAGCATCGCTAATAATTGGGACACATGTAAAACATGTGTTGGACGCCCGCAACAGTACGTTTTTTCCGAATTATCTTCCTTTACACTACACCACCCCAGAAAAATGCCGCCGGGAAGCTGCCTACTTCAGGTATGAATTGGCCCAACGGACATTTCATTGCCTGTCATTCAACGTAGAAGACTTGATCTGCTTTTGATTGTAGGCAGGACATAGCCAGAGCCTTGCAAAGAGGAACACAGGGTTGACAAAATCTCCCCTTATGGTGATCCCCCACACAAAGATATCCCCGGATATAGTATACTTGTTGATAAGGGATACGGTTTTCTTCGTTTCATTGTTATTTCTACGTTGAAACCAGAACAGAAACCAGAAGCTACCGTGAGATCAATTCTGTTTACATTTCTAATACGCGCCCGGGTGGCCAGCAAGATACGCTTTGCTCGGGTGGGGGGGGGCTAATTTGACCCCCGCCCCCCCCCCCTGCCCTGAGATCTCAGGAGCTGAGAGAGCTAGACACACAAAATTCACAATGTGCGTTGACCTGTACGTGAACTCACTTAGGTCCAAGTTCGATGTTCCTAGGTCAAGACTTTTGGGTCAAATAAGGCCAAACAGAGTCAAATTTCAGGTTGGTCTCTTAAGTGCCCCCAGAACCTAGATAACTGTTTCTAAGCAAAAGGTCACATGTGCATCTAAGTACAGTGACCTTGTTTGACTTCTTGAAGGTCGTGGTGACCAAAATCAAACCAGACTGCTCTGAGTTTTGCATCTGAATAAACGAGAAAGATTTCGCTAGGCAGTATGTTTCTAAAAACAAAGTGTTGACCTGGTTCATTTTAGGTCAATGACCTATTCTGATCTGTAAGAAGTCCATGGAAGATGTATAAGGCGGTTCCTGCTATCAATAAGTTTAAAATGAGCACCAGAAACCATCCTATACAGCAGACCCTAGAGTAATAAAAGAGGTTGGTTTTGAACTCGGTCCGACCTTTATACCTGACCTTAAATCAACGTAATTTGCTCATTCAATATTTGTGTCGCCTAAGAAAGCATCTCAGAGATGTACAGAGATGTCTAACACTCCACTGTTGCAACAGATTAAACTATCCCATAGACGTTGACTTCGCTGAAACCATGGCCTGACTTTGACCTGCCATAGGTCAGCGACCTTACCAAGCGCATAGAATTTGTTATGTCAAACGATTGGGTATTCAATTTTCTACAACTGTTCCAAACATGGTGCGGCTGCGCCGCGCCGTTCGGAAACCATTATGGAAAAACTTTCGCGGGCGAGTCAATTTGACTGTCCATCCGAGCGTGTGTTAATGTCAATAAACTACAGAAATCAGACGTTTAACGAGCGCGTGGAATAAGTCACCGGTGTCCTTAATTCTCCAGGGCTTAGTGTACTCTTTCTAAACCTATAAAACTTAGAAACTTTTCCATAATGCTTTATCTGCGTTCTACAAACATTGAGAACATCGTGAAGGTAGATTGTAGATCGATATGTTTGATCGAAATTTGGGGGTGAAAATTTTGATTGCAGTTCGAGTGGTCAACAACGTGTATTAACATCGCCAAGCCATGTTTGTCTGGGAATGTTCAACATTCAGTCAGAATCAATAAGTGATGCAATTTATATAACGTGGTTTTTAACATGCGCGCTCGCAAATCTTACCAGAAAACCTTAATACCAGGCGCTGCAGTCTCCAAGGTCCGCGGGACGCCAGCCCACTGGTTTATTTTTCATTATGGCCCATCGGTGGACGAAGATGATAACGGTTCCGAAATAATTATCTTTAAACACTTGAGTCGGTTAATAAAATAAGTTATGTGACATAATTCCGAGCATGCGTACTCGCAAATCACAGTTTAAAAAACATCGACGTCAGGCGTTGCAGTCTTCGTTGGCCGCTCAACGTTTGTTCCACAGAGCTGGGCCGTGCCGTACCGTGCCGTGCCGTGCCGTACCGTACCGTGCCGTACTGAGCCGTCCCGTGCTGAGCCGTACTGAGCCGTAGCTTACGGGTGGACGAAAATGATGACTCTTCTGAAAGAAGTACCTTTTAACACTTCAGGACATCAAATCTTATATCTACAAGGCAGTCTGAGCGTATGTTTCACGTGTGCGACTTTAAGATTAAGAACAGATAATGATTACAGAACAGACTATAAGTGGTGCTAGGCTATAAGAAAATACTGGCTCTTAAAGCACCGCGAAGTGGTGATGGAATCTGGTGGTGGAACTGGAAGAGTAAAGGTAGATTCACTATTTTTGGTGTTTCTGTAACTATTAATCTGTCCAGAACACAGATTAATACGGCGCCCGGCGCCTGGCAGCACTTGCAGTGGCCGACGCAGTTCGGTTTTACGGAAGCTGCAACCCACACCATCGCTGCCCTTGCTCTCGAGGTTGCAGGCGGGCATGCTCGAACCTTGTGGCGCACTTTTTCACTAATGCATTCCAAAAAAATGAACGTTCTTTAGGCAAACATGGGGTGGTCTTGTTGGTTTTTAAAAAGAATTGATTTCGACTTACTCTATTCAACAATAATGAGACCTCCACTCAATTCCACAATAATGAGGTCCCTGGTTTCCTTCCGGGCAAGGGGCCGCTTGAGTAGAACACCAGGGACACATTACCGGTTCCGGTCAAGAGCTGAAGGGCCCTCCGCTCCATTGCGAAGCGTCTTCTGGCTGTCATTCTAGCGACACGGGGCGCGATCTCCTGGTCGATTCGGAGGCCATTGGAAGGATATATCATATCACATTGCTCCCCTTCCTGACACGGGAGGCCTTCTGACCCGCGCAGTTGGTCCCCGATCAGCAGAGGAACCCTCATTGACGCAACAACATCCCTGGTCGCTAAACGCGGTCCAATAATTGTCACACAGGCTCCAGCTCCGTGCTCTTCTGTTTTCTTCAGAGATATTGAGGGATCCCTGAACGTAGATTGCAAATGAAATGGGGCCCTAAACTTGTATTAGCATGGCTAATCTAGATCTTCTTAAAATTTTCAAGATTCGGTCAGAATTTATTACTGATAAAAAACTATGTAATATGGTTTTGAACATACGCCCTCGCAAGTCATAGCAACAACAGCCTGAACACCCGGCGTTGCAGTCTTCATGGGCAGCGTGGCGTCGGCTTGTGGCTGTTACACTGAGTGATGGCCGATAAGCAAACGAAAAAGAGGATGTATGTTGAGGAAGATGGCTGGCGAACTAGGGAAATCGGCACGCATGTTTAAATGTGGTGCAAAAGTAAGCTAAACACAAGTTTAATCTGAAAAGTGGAGGGCCAGTTAACAATGCTGGCTCCCCACCTTGAAAAGCGTTGGGCCCTGGCCCCCTGCCCCGCCTCCTGTTCCTACACCCATGTATACAGGGCATCGGATTGAAAGGTGGGGGCTCTGTCCTCCTATAAGAGAAGTGTACTGGTTGCAGGGTGCTGTCACTTTGTACCTGCATTTGACGCAGGTACAGAATTCAGTCGCTTTATTGTTCTCATGCGTGTGAGGTGCTATCTTGCCTCACTAATGCTATGATAACACGCATGTCCTGGCCTGTCTGCAGTTGTCTACACACTGTCCCTGGCGGACGTGTCCAAAACTGCCCGGTTCGCTTCTGGGACGGTATCGGGAAGAGAATAAAAGAGCTCAAGAGTTCTCAAGAGTTCTCGTGTAATGCCCGTCAAAGCACGTGCTAGAACTTAATTTTATTGACACAGAATCGTAAGTAGTACATGAGTGCTGAAAGTGCAGAACAGGCCTGGTGTCCTAGTTCTCTGTACCACACGCCGTACTCCACTCTAAAAAACGGAATTTACAAAGCTGTTGCTCACGTGGGATGACAATGTCCCGTAGCCATGAATTAGCTTGTAGCGTTGAGCACTCCACAAATGTTCACGATATTGTGTATCAACGTGGAACAAAACATCCGCGACATCGAAACAAAACTGGCGCCGGCCGTTCCGACGTCTTCAGAGCCGCCCCCAGTCCCTGCCGCGGCCCGCCACAGCAGCCGGGCGGGGCGGCGACCGTGGCAGCTCGCCACCCTCGGCCGACAGGGGTCGCTGCCGCCGCCCGTCCGCTCTGGCGCGGAGCAGCCCGTACCCGGCCGGCACGGTCGCCAGCAGCCGCTGTCGCACCTGCTTCCGCCACTTGGCCCGCCGGTTCTGGAACCACACCTGTGAGCCGGGAACCGAGGTCTTGGCAGAGCAGATGTATGGAAATCATTGCGAGATGGTGCGGTCGGCATAAATGGCATCAGACGCGTTGGACATAATTACGCACGTCGGTGCTTCAAAATGTGCAGTAGCATGCTTAGGTCATATATAAAAGCATGCTCTTTAGGCACCTTCATTTCATGTTTTACACGGTTTCGTACAATAGGCTTGGACGACATCGGATTCACGTGACGCGATGAAAATTATGCACTTTCCTGCTCATTTTGATCGTCCACCAACATTCGGTCGGCAAACTATTGGCAGTGGCGTCAGCTGCACCCCTTGTGGTACGCGCGGGATCTTTACAACCTTGGGCAGTCGAAGAGAACGGGGAAAATGCAGTCGCTGTTGACGCAGCTGGATGCAAAATTGCATTTCATGCATCTAGTATAAATTGACCTTTAACTGCACCAAATGCCCAGTTTTAGTTTTGCATCATTTGATGTCAGATATAAGATGGTGTATAAAACACGCTTTAACACGCGCCCGGGTGGCCAGCTACATACCCTTCGCTCGGGTGGTGGGGGTCAATTTGACCTCCTCCCCCCCAAGATCTCGGGAACTAAGAAAGCTGGTGACACCAAATTTCCAGGGTGTGTTGAACTGTACGTGAAATCACTTGGTCAAAGTTTGAGCTCACTAGGGCATGACCTTTGGGTTAAATAAGGTTAAACAAGGTGAAATTCCAGGTTGGTCTCCAAAGTGCCCCCGGAACCTAGATAACTGTTGCCAAGCAAAAGGTCACAAACTCATTTGAGCTCGGTGACCTTGCTTGACCTTTTAGAGGTCATGGTGACCAAAATCATACAAGACTGCCCTGAGTTCTGTATTTGAATTAGCGACAAAGATTACGCTACGCAGTATGTTCCTAAAAATTGTCGACCTGGGTCATGTTAGGTCAATGACCTATTCTGACCTCTAAGAAATCAATCGAGGATGTATGATGCGGTTCCTGCTATCAATAAATTCTAAATGAGCACCGGAAACTACTCCATACAGCAAGCCCTAGAGCAATAAAACAGGTTGGTTTTGACCTTGGTCTGACCTTCATACATGACCTTTAAGTCACCGTAATTTGCTCATTCAATGTTTTTGTTGCCTAATAAGGCATCTCAAATATTTATAGCTCCGTCAAACACTCTTATGTTGCATCAGATTAAACAAATCTCCAGAACACTACTTCGCTGAAACCATGGCCTGACTTTGACCTGCCATAGGGCAGTCATCTTACAAGGTAAATCTAAATGTTTTACACCAACCAAACGATCCGCTATCCAATCGTCAACAGCCATGCAAAATTTGACGCGGCTACGCAGGCGCCGTCTGGAAACCATTCCGGAAAAACCTTCGGGGGGGGCTCAATTTGACCCCCTCACCCGGCGCGTGTCAACATCTAGACTCTAAATGGTTCCATCATTTCTACAATCTTGGCAGTGTTCTACGATGAAAAGCTGAAGCAAACCTTCGGAACATAGCGCCTAACAGCGTATGGCACAAATAGCATTTGTCCAAATTATATTGCTCCCAGCCATGGGTGAACATAGCCACCTAAAAATAGCTAGGTTGCTGGTAAAGTCCATACATAAGAAATGCAGCTTTGCAGTGCATTTACAGTTACACTGCAGCGAAGGTAACGGAAACTAGCTTTTCCGTTATTCTGCTACTTTCTGACAACGTTTAACAACCAAGGCGATCGTTTCCACGCGTTTCCTAGGCTAATTAGATTCCTCTATAGCGATAGTAAAAATTTGGTAGAAGAAAACCACCTCAAGGTGCATGAAAAAGGTACCTTAGATCCTGCTGTGCCCGGGGTAGATTCAAGGGAGGCAAAATGGGCAACTGGCCCTCCAAAAGAAAAATATGATATGTGGCCAAGACCATGTTCTGCCCGCCCAAAGCTTTATGCAACTGTCCACATTATATTTGCTAAGAGTACAACTTTTTCGCTTTTCCGCATTGTTTTGCAAATCGCTGGTTTCTTTCCTTCAACAGTGGTCAATGCTGAACACTGGCCGATGGATAGTGCATGGTGAGTTGGGTAGACAAAACTAAGGAACATGAGAAAACAAACTGTATGTATAAAGGTGTGGTAAATTAGGCTGGTATGTGTATTCTTCTGTAGATCCCAAAGCAATCCACTGAGTTTTCTTCAGAGCTGTTTTTGAAATTATTTCTGGTATCCTAAAAGCAGGCCTTTGAATCATCTAACTTTGAGGCATTCCAGCAAATTTGGCAATCATAGATTAGAGTAGACCATGATTGATCAACGGCTACATAATTCGTGTTTATTGTACGTCTATGGACTTTTATTGAGCACCCCGCTCCAAATAAAATGATATCAGCTACGCACAGCTGCCTTCCTCCTGTAGGTTTCAGACCTGAGGAATAGCGTTGCTCGTATTCCGTCCGTTCAAGTTTGTCATATCTGCGCCATGACTAGCCACACCCAATTGTTTTCAGAAAATGGATTCGCCAATAATGATACAAAGTAGCGTATTTTCCCTTTGGCGGTAGCATTAATCGCTCACAACAAAGCCTTAAAGTTAACGTAACGAAGTGGTAGAGTGACGTACTTAACTGTAACGGAGTGACTGACCACAAAGGTGATGGAACTTACTCGCTCTATTGCGATGTTTACTAGTAATTTGCTACTCAAAAATGTTGTCGGGCTCCTTAACGGAGCAACGGAGTACCGTACCGCGCCCAACTGTGCCTCCAATCAGTGAAATGTGTTGTTGCGAAACAACACATATTCTTGCGGCTGGCGTGACGGGACACAATTTGTGTCAGCCTTAAAGAAAAACACATCAAACCTACCGGTATATTAAGTAGAAACAAGCCCTCACAAAATCAAAAGTTCTGTCAACGTCATCCTCAAAATAACTAGCTTTGTAGAACCAAAAGCCATGTATAAAATGTTGTCTTGTTTGGTCGGGCCAATATTGCATTTTTGCTTTGAAACGCGGACGAAAGGCTTGTCTTTTGCGACACATAAAAGCGTGTTTCAATTCAGCACTTCAAGATAATAAGGAGCAATTCGCGACGTTTGATTCCGCCAGCCGGCGTGATCAGTGGCGTACCTGTACCCTGGCCTCCGGCAGGCGTGTGCGGCGCGCCAGCTCGTCCCGCAGCCTCAGGTCCGGGTACTGCGTGACACGGCCGAACACTAGCTCCAGCTGCCGCAGCTGGGCCTCGCTGAACGTGGTGCGAGACCGCCTCTGGCGCCCAGGGCAGGTCAGGTCAGGGCCTCCAACAAGCTCCAACTGCCGCAGCTGGGCCTCGCTGAACGTGGTCCAACACCGCCCCTGGCGCCCAGGGCAGGGCAGGTTAGAGCCTCCTACAAGCTCCAGCTGCCGCAGCCGGGTCTCGCTGAACGTGGTGTGGCGCTATAACGCAACCACTATTCATGGGTCCAGCATTTTCCCCGTGACGCGTGGAAAGAGTCGACTTCGAATTTAGCCTCTTATCTTTTGGGTGGTTCCTCCTCGCATAGACATCCCCATACAATGACTCATTTGCGATTGCATCATAGGACCCAGGGCCAGGCATCACGATGTTATGCTTATTTCAAGGCGGACCCTGTGAAGCCACTGAAACCATGCAGAGCAATACTGTTGGTTATTCAATATCCAATCGCAACCGTCGCTGCTATGTTCCTCTGCATGCAAGCCTTGAAAGCTCACGGTGATCACCGTCATATAATATCAACATAATTTGTAAAGAAACAACAGAGCTGCTTACCTGCCGTCTCCACTCCATGACGTAGTCCTCCAGAAAGCAGCCGGGCCCCACCAGCTCCCTAGAGACATGGCGGAAGCAGTCGGCCGCTGGCACCGACACTGCTTCGGCCCAGGCCAGAGCGCGCGCTGACCGCCGCAGCGCGTCCTCAGCCTGCCTGTGGGCCAGCTGACCGGTGGCCGCTGGCGGTCTCCGTCGCTGCACCTCCGCGGCTGACCTCGCAGCCGAACCGGACTCGCTGCGAGCTGGCGGCAGCCCCGCGCTGTCCCACCACGGCTCCGGCACTGCGGGTGAGGTGGCCCGCCTGCAGCCTGCCACATCGACGCCGGCGGCGACGCCGCTGTGGTCAGGGGGCGGGGCTGCCGATTGACCTCTGAGGTCACCCTGCGGCGGCGGCCCGGCCGGCAGCGAGGCGCCGCCGTCCGCTCTGCCGACGCCACACCAGTGCCGTGCCATCATCGGCGCCACCAGCGGCCCCGGCGCGACAGCCTGCTCCAGAGGCGCGTGCCACGTGTGTCCCGGAACGTGGTAAGCGTGCGCCCCGTTTTATTGGCGCCCGTCGGCGTCTGCGTGTGGGGCGAGAGATGGTCGGCCGCTGATGATCTACAGGGCTATGTAGCGCTTGTAGCAAGTGCTGGCTCTCGAATTCTTCAGGACAGGAGTGGCCAGATTGCAGTTGTAAAAATCCTGCACGCATTTTATCCATCACATAATGTCCAGTTTCTAGAGACAAAATAAGTCGTTATCGGAAACCTTTATAAAGGATGTCAGCGCAAACGCGGCTGCCCCGATATCTCAATGGTAATTTTCTTTTACCGGAATACATCAGCCGTCATTAAACTATACCGTCTGACCCCCCCCCCCCCCCCCACCCCGAATTCATCCCATGTAAATGGTTCGATGTGGAGACCGATGGACGGGACAACAGGACATGAGCCATGCGCACACTCAGACAACGCTAGCCTTTCCGTTAACACATGCTCAGGGGGTCAAATTGGCTCCCCGAAGATTTTTGCAAAATTGCTTCCGGCGCGGTGTAGCCGCGCCAAATTTTGTATAACTGTAGAAAATTCAACGGCAGATCGTTTAGCATAAAAAATTTAGATGTGTCTTGTAAGGTCGCTGACCTATGGCAGGTCACAGTCAGGCCATGGTTTTAGCGAAGGCAATTTCCTACGGAATCCTTCAATCTGATCCAACAACGGAGTGTTTGACGAAGCCATACATATCTGAGATGCTTTCTTATGCGACACAACAGTTGAATGAGCAAATTGCATTGACCTAAGGTCAGGTATGAAGGCTACACCAAGGTTAACACCAACCTGTTTTATTGCGATAGAGCTTGCTGCATGGATAGTTTCTGGTGCCCATTTCGAGTTTATTGAAAGCAGGAACCGCATTATACATCTTCTGTGGACTTCTTAGAGGCCAGAATAGGTTCTTGACCTAAAAAACCTAGGTCAACATTTTGCTTTTGGCAACATACTGCGTAGCGTAATCTTTGTCGCCTAGACACATGCAAAACTCAAGGCGCTCTTGTATAATTTTGGTCGACTTGACCTTCAAAAGGTCAAAGGTCACTGAACTTAAATGAGAATGTGACATTTTGCTTAGAAACGGTTATATACGTTCTGGGGACACTTTGGAGACCCACCTGAAACTTGACTTTGTGTGACCTTTTTTAACCCGGAGGTCATTGTCTAAGAACCTGAAACTTTGACCTAAGTGAGTTCACGTACAGGTCAACACACCCTGTAAATTTTGTGTCTCTAGCTTTCTTAGTTCCTGAGATCTCAGGGGGTCAAATTGACCCCCACCCCACCCGAGCGAAGGGCATCTAGCCGGCCACCCGGGCGTGTGTTAACAAAGCTATAAAAAAGAACGTACCAACCCACACTAGACGACTGCAGGCCGAGTACATCCAAATGTTCGCAATCGGCCTGATAACACCATTCCAACGATGGTCCTATGATCATGTCATAAAATTGCCCTAAGAAAGAAAGTCAGTTATTTAATTTGCCATCTTTTTAGGGCTCGGCCTCTACACAACTTTTAGAGTCTTGTAAAGGTTGCAAATCAGAATTCATGTATTTTGTATTCTTTCTTAACATGGCATGGACGCATATGCCGTAATCTTCGGCACCTTCATTTTAATTATTCTAATATACGATATACAACTTACGAATGCTTGCTTCCTTTCACGGACATGTCATAATGAGCACAATACGATTCTGTTTGTTGTGACCTTTCGCGCGTATTGTTCACCTTTCGCTGGTGTAACTTTTGCTGGTGGCCGTGGGTGAGAGAAGGAACCGCAATTGGAAGCTGGTTGACATGATTTTGCCCGCAAAAAATGTATGATAAAATCCGTATGGCAAGTAGCCATGTGTGACAGCCCGCCGACTAACCGTGAGGGGAAGATTGGCTAAATTCGGCATCACTATGGTGTCACACATGGCCTCAAATATCCGCCATCACACATCGGAGCTATGTGTAGCGTAAGATGTGGTATCAGCCCAGAGCAGCCTCGTGAAGACCGCCAGCGTAACCCTGCACCAGTCGACGACCATTCGAGTGTTGACGCGGCAAGGCGTCAGACTAGAGCTATGACACTAAGACGTTAAGACTAGGACTGTGGCTAAGTTCAGATTACATGAGGCCAGGTTATGTGTGATACCATGTCACAATGATTTGCTATTGACAGTCCCTTACTCCGATAATCTGACATGAGCTTATCTTCGTGTTTGCTATGTTACTATGTGCGTATCATGTTATCTTGGCAAGAAGATAAATTGTCATGAGCCTCCAACTGTTCTATATGGTCCCTTGAAAGGCCAAAGGAGCTGGCCTAACAACTTTGCAACTTCGATACCGACTCAAATTCAGTCTCAAGTGCTCAAAGTCCGTCTCCAAGAGCAAGAAGTCAGACCCGAACTCGTACTCGAATTCAAAAGACTCGGATTAAAACTAAGAGCTATGAACCGTGAAAAAAAAATGTTGGAATCTGGCTGAGACGGACGTAGTGTTAACAGGAGTATACTCGGATCTCGTACTCAGGCTCAAGATAACAGGATTTTAGTATGGGCGCGAACCGGTCTCAAGGACTCGGACCAAGAGACCGAGACTCGACAGCTTCTTGACTTCTGAAACAGCTCTTCACCACGAGGAAAGGACATCATCCAGGCTGTTACGTTGACTGGACCGTCCTAGGTATCCTAAAATTAGCGCATTCGTAGTCCTTATCCAATGACCACTCTGAATTTCGATATATTCTGTGTGTGTGTAACACAACGCTCGTTGAGGACATTGCGCCGCGTCGCGTTAGATCGCGTTGTTAGCAATCGGTTGACGTTAAATTGCCACTGTGCCCGATGCATCCATTGCCAAGCATGGGAGCATGGTTTCGTCCCCCACTGAGTTTACAACGTCCATTATGTATTTTGAGCGGTAAACAAAAAATTCGGTATCATTGCTTTTCGGCATATTCGGCTTTCCAGCATTATTACATTCCACCGATAAGTTCATAAAGCTCGAAACACTTGCGCATCTCATTGACTAAGAATCCCAATATTGTGGGATCGATGAACTGTGCTTAACTCACAACCGTTTCGGGGCACTCTTGATTTTCCAAGAGATCTTTGAGCTATTCCAAACCCTTCTCGACTTCCTGCTTACAGTCGTTTGGGGCTTTTTGTTATGTCTAATGTATGTAATGGTTTTAATGATCCAGTAAATATTGCCAGTTTGCAGAATAGATTCAGGCCGTCAAGTCTCATCTTCTTTCACATGGCTTTGTTATTCTCTTGGTCTTCCTGGAGATGACTTTACTGTTGTCATGTCTATTAGTTGTGCGCGCACCTCCTGTCGTTAGAGGCACTTGAACATCTCAGAGGGCTCCGAGTCTCGGGCATATCTGGATCAGCCTTGGTGGACTGCATGCATTTCGCAAAACATCACGGCACTGGTCATTCCGGCGTTGTTCAATTTTACTAAGGGTCCTTTGCATTTGATTTCACTGAAATGTCTTCACCTAATGGTTCCCGTTATATTTAATGGCTTCCCATAGACACAAAGCTGAATAAAGACTCACAAAGCAAGTAAGGCTGCGACAAGTGATGGGGAGGGGAGGGTGTCTTAGATGCTTCTTTAAAGGGCGCGTTCGGCATTTAAAAATATCGGAGCAAGCAGCATATGTAATGAAATAATCTCACTCATAGATATGCCTGTACTTTAAATGAAGGCTGCTCTAGGCAACAATTTCTCCGCTTAGTAAGTAAAGATATAATCATCAACGCGACATTGTTTGATTACGTCATCACACCTTGCACAGCATTCATTGAAAGCCAGCTGGCAGCCGTTAGATCTGGAAATCGTGCTAACAAGCACCAGATACGATGTTATTTTTCTTGGCCTAGATTGCCACATGACTAAGAAATGAAAAAATGAATAGGCTATTATGGCGCCATGGATGCCTGGGTGACTTTGAAATAGTCTCCCCGAAATATTCTGAATATCTTCGAGGGTGTTCTTGAGAAGGGCGGGGCTGTGAACACTATTGCAGCTCAAAACCCCGTGCTAATGTGGAAGGCTCCCTTTAACGGAATGCCTTATGAGTGGTATTGAAGTTCACCGTTATTTAGAGGACTCGCCCCCCCATCCCGCCTTGCACAGCGGCGTCGTCCCTTTGTTGAGGGCACACCACGGAATTCCGTGCACTGCGGTTACAAAAAAGAAGTGGCAAAATACGCACAATTACTCGAGGTTACAGGAAAACCTGGCTGGTCAAGGAGGAATAATATGACAATTAAGCCAGTGGTCTGTGCATTCTGCTCCACTTTGTCACGTACAGAGACTACAGGTGGTCGCAAGAACTGTCTGTCACTGTCTGTCATAAACCATCCATGCTATCATCAAACCAAACAATAGAGGGAGGTGGAGAAATGGACAAAATGACCGGAATCAGGAGATATACAATACTCGTCTTCTCATCCGTGGTCAGAGCGCGGTGCTTCCGAATCCGCCATTTCATGGATGACTCCAGCGTTCGCTCCGACGAAGCTGGCAAAAGCTTTTGTGATTACGTCGGGGCTTTGATGAGGGATACGGGTTAATCAGCTGAAATCCGGCTGCAAAGCGAGGCGAAATCACACTGATTAGATGTCGCTGTGCTGTGTTTCATTACGCTGTGTATGGGCAATGCGACAAAACAGGATCAACATTCATTAGACTCGAGCAGAAGGCTCAATGCCTCGCAAGGAATCTGATTTGGCTGACTTCATCAGGCGGCAAAGAGGGGAGGGCATAGGCAGACTAAATCAACTATAACTTTCAATGCTGTTTGCAAAGACCACCCCGCCATAACAGTCGAATCTCGTCAGCGGTGACATTCGGTGAAACCATTTCCCCAGCCTAGAAGACACGTGTGGGTGGGCGAGAGCCGTCCGAGTCGCTGAGTACCGCCGGACGCTGTTCGCCTCAGACTGGCCCAGTACGCCACTCCGCCCGAGCAGCGTTGGGTCGACTACATGGCGGTGACTTACCCCTACTCTTTCTAGTGGCGACCAAGCAATGAGCCCTTCTGAGTGCCCCGCGGCTCACCAGATCCTCAGGCCCGATTTGGATGCATTCACCTTAAGAGTAAGTTTGATCACAATTAAAAGCTTTCTGGTGGTTGGTGAAAACTAGACAGGCATGCCAGGTGTGAAGGAAAACTTACATGTGGGAAGATATTTCGACACGTTGAAAGCGCGTCAAATGCTGAAAACTTCAATTTGCCGTCATTTGAATGACGCCGTAGGAAGCGTTTCACCAATTTCACAAAAACAAACACTCATCGGCTCCATCCGGCTGTCAGGTTTCCAAACAAAAGATGACAATTTCGTTCGGCATCACTTGAGGTGCGAAGGCGCGCGATTTTTAGCTAAATCAGGCGTCGTCCAGAACGCATTGGTTTCACATCAGTGTTAAAACAGAAGTTCGTAATGACTAGAGTGCTACATTGCTTCTATTGTTTATGCTTATACTCAACATCAGTGCGTCGACAAAACTCATACTTATACAGGATGGCAGCCAATCCTCGGGCAAGCAACCGAAGACAACCCAAATTTACACAAGAAGGGGCTACCGAAGAAGTATGGGGGGTCACGGCTTACGGGCCTCTGACTTTCTACATAACTTTGCGGCTTCTCTTCGGCTCGTTCAGCCAGGCGCTCTGTCGCGCAGTTCCTGCCACTGATGATGGCTCGAAAGTGGCAGGCCCCTCTTGTATAATTTTGGGTTGCTTGCGGGCTGCCTGCCCGAACATTGGCTGCCACCATGTAGCGCACCTGATGTCTTCCCGTACAGCTTTCTCTGGACATCTTGTTGCCGAGATTGTTGAACTTCGTCTACTTGAAGAAGCTTGATCTGTCTCCATGCTCTCATCGAGTGAGTTGCCTCTAATTTCTGCGAAAGTTTGTTCACTGTATTGCTTTGTATCAATGATAGCTAGTCTGGAGGAACAGGGAGCGCCAAGGGGGCCATGCCTGGGGCCCCCATGTTTCAAAGTGGGGGGGGGGGGGGGCAGCGATGTCCAAGAGAATGTTCCACATTTGAAAAAGCAAGCATCAGATACGTTGAAAAGCTCACTTATCAATATGCGTATACTTTTAGGTGGCAAGGACTGCGCCAGGCAACAAAATTTCTCTATTCAGTAAATACACTCGTTATACGTCTATTGCTTGCCATATAGGTCATTGCTTGCTGGCGTCATGAAACGTTTTTATAAAGTTTACGTGCTACCAACTAGCTGTGCGAAATTGCCTTGCTAGCACTCACTTGCAGTACTGTATCTCCCGAGACGTGGCCGCAGCGGTGCTAGAAGTGTGTGCAAAGCCGACTATCGTATGTGCTCGTGTCTTGGCCCTTTTTCGTGATATTCTTGCATATCCATCCGATAGTTTAAGATGGTTCCTTGCATTGGCATGCTCGGCCATGGTGCTTTTCTAAATGTATTCGATACAAGTCTTGTTTCCGTAATAACTAGCAGCCATGTGCAGCCTCTTATATTATGTAGAACAAAACGAGATCCGTACTTGAAGCCTCCGACCCTGCTATCCTCTGTCTGATTTTATCCTGCATCCTCTCAACGCGCCGCTTGTCCGGAGCAGGCCGCGCGCGCCAACCATGAGTGGGCCGGGAGGCTCCCTTGGAGGGGGACCCCGGCCGGGCGCCCAGCGTATACCCCGCAGAGGGATCCCTATACCAGCCAAAGCTCGACGGCTGGTCCCCCCCCCCCCCCCCCCCAGGTGCACGCAGTCCCATCCCTCCGTTATCCGGTCTCTCTCATCCCATAGCCCTAAAATGATCATTACTGGTCAAAAGAGCCCTTATCCAAATAACCAAATAACCAAATCGTGATTGAAATGTGCACAGTTTGATTTGCTTGCTCAACATTTGCTTGCTCAACTCAATTTGCTCAACATTGATTGATAGCCAGTTAACGCCCACTATTTCTGGAACTTTGCTCTCGAACGCCAGATCTGAACGGTTGGACGATTGTATTCCCTTTTGGCCCTGAACGCCGCATGGTCTGCATGGGAAGGCAGAATTTAAACAGCGTAGCTATGTCTCTATGTATGACCGAATAACCTTGAAATAGCCTGCACGAAATAGTCTGCACATCTTTGTAGGCGTGTAGCTCAGAAACGATAGGGTTTCAGGCATAGGCGAAGGAACGTTTCAAAAAGTGGGAGGTGGGGCAGGCTTAGGGCACACTTGGGAAACTTTAAGCGGAAGCAAGCCGGTGACCGGAGAGCGGGGAGCGTAGATATTTTCCGCAGCTAATTCACATAACGCTTTTTGGAAATAACCAAATGTCGTGGCTGCTTTGCTAGATGTACATCAACAGCTGTTTCCCATTTGTGCTCAGTCTTGCCTTTACGACTCGTCTCAGACATCCGACAAATCAGACTTTACAGCTTCCTAAGATCATTCGTCCATTTCAACATTGTTCCCCCTGGGGAGGTGAAATTCCTCGAGCGGAAGGACATTTTGGGTCATTGCGAATGCATCTGTCTGCATAGGGTAGATGTCAAAACACGAACTTGGCACAGGCTGGTTAGAATTTCTAATTCGAATCAACGACCCATAGTGCGGCAGCTTTCATGCATCTAGAATTCGTCGGCTACTTTTCAAAAGATCAGATCTGTCTCATCATTAAGGCGGAAAATGCGCCAGCGTCAAATACGAGCTACGAAAAACAATGTGAAAAACATAAAACCAGAACTAAGGCCTGCTCAAGTCCACCGTCGGCGGCCACGGCTCTGGCCCGACGGTCTCTCGCATGACCGGCTGCCAATGATCACATGACCACTTTACTGCACGTTGATGGATCAGCACCACTACTCATTGGTGTGTAACGCAGGGATATAGTTTCCTTTTCAATTGGGGTTGGCGGATGAGCAAGCTCCAAGTATGTCCATATGCGTAGCACACCTAGTTTTCTAGAACTGCGCACGTTAAGATGGGTTCCCGTACAAGCAAATGGCGCACGCAAGAATCTTCAAATTTAATGGCCCGAATGCGAGGGTTTTTAGGAGGGGCTCCAACCCTTAGGAGAGCCCCAAAAAATGTTGCACGTCCCTTCCACCCACCCCCGCCCCCGCTCCCTCTGTTGACAAAAACCTGGATCCGCCACTGACGTCGTTTAACAATTACCTCCGGGTATATCAAAGGTCGATAACTCATATTTAAATATATTGAACTCAAAATGCCGATATGCATGACATGAAGACGTTTGCTTGCGTCATTCCGAGGCATCTGCCAATTGAGTTTACAAGTTCCCTAGCATTTTATCCCAGAATCAGCGCTTGATCCAACTTTCTTCTTTCGTTACATCCCTTTCTTGACTTCCCGGGCAACTTACGTGAAGTTAGCGTCGTGTTTACAAACTTGTGCGTCAATTTGAGCAGAAGGCTGCTAGAGCTGGCCGAAAGGGAACGTCCAGTAGAGTCGCGGCTGCACGCAATTTAATTCTAGGGGCATTACGTGTCAAATTTAATTCTTTAGTGCCTTCAAATCTGTAAATTTGTTCAAAATAACTCAGTTCTTCATTTGATATTTGCTTTTTGTCCTAATTATTGTCAAAAATGCTCCCACGCCAGCCTGTAGCTTCCCTTAGTGATGTGAATACCTGACGGATAATTGTTTCTGCTACATTCTTGCAGCGTGTTGTTTTGAACGGTGTTCTGAAAAGTCGGTTCTGGTATACGTACGGGGAACAGCCGGGCGCAGCGGGGAGTTACGGCGTGAATGTTGTGGTGGAAAAGGATGTGAGGAAGATCTGACTACGCTTTAGGTACCGTTTAAACTGCATCTTTGATGTTTTTTGCTCATTCATCACTGAGGTGAACGTGAGCGAATTACGAGAGGCATGCGTGCGCTTGCATATGCGTATTGTAACCGCTGGGGGTTCGGGAGAGGGGGCTGGAGGAACGTGCGCCCAAATTTTCTCAAAGATATATTTTATCGCTCCTGTTGTGCCTGTATAAAGCGCTTTTTGCGATTTCCCACTTAAAATGGCATTTTTACCTTAGGTTGCCCCCCCCCCCCCCCCCCCACACACACACCCACCTCTGAAGTTTGGGTTTTCTTCAAGTACTTCACCTTTTTTAGAAGAAGAAATATCTCCACCGCGAGCGTTTTACGCGCAGTGCGGCACGGGCTCAACCAGCTCGCGTTAGCAGGATTGCCCGACTTTGAAATCATACAATCCAAACGACATCTTTAGCACCAAAAGTAATGGGCAGGCAATTAACATTATTCACTACGGCGTTTCGACCACTGCTACTCACAATGCTCGCATGATTGCCTATCATCTTCAAGAAATAACCATCTGATAATATAATAATTTCGGCTACAAACAGGTCATATGATTTTTAACACGCGGACAACCGACGATTTATAGCATGTACTAAAAGGGCAACATAAGCACCAAATTACGTACATTCGAGCAATCAAGAAAAGTATCCCAGTTCTTCACATTCGTGTCTCGAATTGATGTTTCCAAACAGACAGCACAGAGAAAAACCCAACAATGTCGGCGGAACTGAAGCATTTCCAGCAGTCTTAAAAAACGGACCAAGCCACGGGAACCAAACACCGAAGCCAAGCCAACGTTTTCGGTGCGGTACATTGACGTCTATTAGCGCAGTGCATCTCATACACGAGTCCGGATAATGTGATTCACACTGATTAGGACCAAACACATCGTGACGACATTGTCGCTTAAACTACAACACTTGGGTTCAATTAATATGACTACTCTGTTGCCGTGGCATGCTGCAATCATGTGCAGAGGGACTGTCGTAGTACCCTCTTAAAGTAGTGCACCTCCTGTACAATTCCAACGAGCAAGGCTTGAAATCGCTCTGACATCTAGAGACATACTCTGCCGAGAAAATATGCCAACAGCCACCCTAAGGAAACGGATCAAGCCTCGGGAAACGAAGACTGAAGCAAGGCCAGCGTTTTCGGTACGGTACATATACGTCTGTTAGCGTAGTGCACCTCACACACTAGTCCGGATAATGCAATTCACACCTTTAGAACTGAACACGTCGTGCTGACAATGTCGATGGAACTGCAAGACTTCGGTCCGATGAATAAGACTCATGCATTGCCGTGAGATGCTGCAATCATGTCGTGCAGAGGGACTGTCGTAGCACCCTCTTAAAGTAGTGCACCTCTTGTACAATTCCAACGAGCAAGGCTTGAAATCGCTCTGACATCAAGAGGCATACTCTGCCGAGATATTATGCCAACAGCCACCCTAAGGAAACGGATCACGCCCCGGGAAACGAAGACTGAAGCAAGGCCAGCGTTTCGGTACGGTACATATACGTCTATTAGCGTAGTGCACCTTACACACGAGTCCGGACCATGCGGTTCACACTTATTAGGACTAAACACATCTTGCTGACGATGTCGGTGGATATGCCAGACCACGGTCCGATGAATAAGACTCATGCATTGCCGTCAGATGTTGCCATCATTGGCGGGCGGACTGCAGTAGCACCCTCTTCAAGTAGTACACCTCTTGTATAATTCCAATTGGCGAGGCCTAGGAACCACTCTGACATCCAAAGACGTTCTCCGCCGAGATAATATGCCAACAGCCACGCTAAGCAAACGGACCAAACCCCGGAAAACGAAGACTGAAGCAAGGCCAGCGTTTTCGGTACGGTACATATACGTCTATTAGCGTAGTGCACCTCACACACGAGTCCGGATCATGCGATTCACACTTATTAGGACTAAACACATCTTGCTGACGATGGTATAATTTACGCTGCGCTTATAAATACATATGTACCGTACCGAAAACGTTGGCCTCGCTTCGGTCTTCGGTTTCCGGGGCTTGGTCCGTTCCCTTAGAATTGCTGTTGAGACGTTTTTTCGATACAGTGTGTCTTTGGATGACAAAGCGGTTTTTAGGTCTCGCCAACGAATTATGCAAGAGGCGCACTACTTTAAGAAGATGCTACTACAGTCTGTCCGCACATGATGGTGACATCCCACGACAGTGCATGAGTCTTATTCATTGAGTCAAACCATTGCAGCTCAACCGACATTGTCGGCACAATGTGTTTATTTCTACTTAGTGTGAATCGCGTTGTAAGGGCTCTTGTTTCAGGTGCACCGCACGACTAAACGTATATGTACCGTACCTAAACCGTTGCCTTTGTTTCGGTCCTCGGTTCCCGGGGCTTGGCTTCGTTCCTCAGGGTTCGTGTCGGGATGTTATCTCAGCGGGGTGTGTCTTTGCCTTTCAGAGTGGTTTTTAGGTCTCGCCAGTTGGAATTATACAAGAGGTGTACTACTTTAAGAGGGTGCTACTACAGCCTGTCCGCACATGATGGCAGCATCTCACGGCAATGCATCAGCCTTATTCATCGGACCGAAGTCTCGCAGTTCCACCGTTATTGTCAGCACGATGTGTTTAATTTTCATAAGTGTGAATCGCCTGATCCGGACTCGTGCATGAGGTGCACTGCGCTAATAGACGCATATGTGCCGTACCGAAAACGCTGGCCTAGCTTCAGTCTTCGGTTCCAAGGCTTGGTCCGTATCCTTAGGATTTTTATTGGCATATTATCTCGGTAGAGTATGTCTTTGGATGTCAGAGCGGTTTTTAGGTCCCGCCAATTGGAATTATACCAGAGGTGTACTACTTGAAGAGGGTGCTACTGCAGTCCGCCCGCCAATGATGGCAACATCTGACGGCAATGCATGGGTCTTATTCATCGGACCGTGGTCTGGCATATCCACCGACATCGTCAGCAAGATGTGTTTGGTCCTAATAAGTGTGAACCGCATGATCCGGACTCGTGTGTAAGGTGCACTACGCTAATAGACGTATATGTACCGTACCGAAACGCTGGCCTTGCTTCAGTCTTCTTTCCCGGGGCGTGATCCGTTTCCTTAGGGTGGCTGTTGGCATAATATCTCGGCAGAGTATGTCTCTGGATGTCAGAGCGATTTCAAGCCTTGCTCGTTGGAATTGTACAAGAGGTGCACTACTTTAAGAGGGTGCTACGACAGTCTCTCTGCACGACATGATTGTAGCATCTCACGGCAATGCATGAGTCTTATTCATCGGACCGAAGTCTTGCAGTTCCATCGACATTGTCAGCACGACGTGTCCAGTTCTAAAGGCGTGAATTGCATTATCCGGACTCGTGTGTGAGGTGCACTACGCTAACAGACGTATATGTACCGTACCGAAAACGCTGGCCTTGCTTCAGTCTTCGTTTTCCGAGGCTTGATCCGTTTCCTTAGGGTGGCTGTTGGCATATTATCTCGGCAGAGTATGTCTCTAGATGTCAGAGCGATTTCAAGCCTTGCTCGTTGGAATTGTACAAGAGGTGCACTACTTTAAGAGGGTACTACGGCAGTCCCTCTGCACGACATGATAGCAGCATGTCACGGCAAACGGAGTAGTCATATTAATTGAATCCAAGTGTTGTAGTTTAAGCGACAATGTCGTCACGATGTGTTTGGTCCTAATCAGTGTGAATCACATTATCCGGACTCGTGTATGAGATGCACTGCGCTAATAGACGTCAATGTACCGCACCGAAAACGTTGGCTTGGCTTCGGTGTTTGGTTCCCGTGGCTTGGTCCGTTTTTTAAGACTGCTGGAAATGCTTCAGTTCCGCCGACATTGTTGGGTTTTTCTCTGTGCTGTCTGTTTGGAAATATCAATTCGAGACACGAATGTGAAGAACTGGGATACTTTTCTTAATTGCTCGAATGTACGTAATTTGGTGCTTATGTTGCCCTTTTAGTACATGCTATAAATCGTCGGCTGCGTGTTAAAAATCATATGACCTGTTTGACGCCGAAATTATTATATTATCAGATGGTTATTTCTTGAAGATGATAGGCAATCATGCCAGCATTGTGAGTAGCAGTGGTCGAAACGCCGTAGTGAATAATGTTAATTGCCTGCTCTTTATTTTTGGTGCTAAAGATGTCGTTTGGATTGTATGATTTCAAAGTCGGGCAATCCTGCTAACGCGAGCTGGTTGAGCCCGTGCCGCACTGCGCGTAAAACGCTCGCGGTGGAGATACTTCTTCTTCTAAAAAAAGGTGAAGTACTTGAAGAATACCGAAGTTTGTTTCCAGTTTGACTCCTCCAGTCCTTATTTGTCCATACCAATTACAGGTATGTGGTTGCACCCATTTGTGCTTGGAGGTCACTGTTGCAAAGACATGGTGGCAACAACTTCAACTTAGCTACCATGTGAATCTAAGTCCCACACACAGCTATGACATATGTCCAGTGTATTGAGAGCTTATGTCATGTATTTGAAGTAAGAGTTGATAACTTCATGGTTCTTCAATAGGCTCAGTTCAGTAATTAACCATGTACCACAATGGTCTGACAATATCCTTGCCACAGCTTAACATATATGTTTATCTCTTTTGTAATATTGTAGGAGACTGGCCTGTCTATGCCTTGTGTGTTGCCACAGACCTAATCAATCCAGATATGATGTGAACCCAACCTATCTAAGAATGTGATTTGTGTATTGTCCTGTGCTCTCCATAAACTGTGAGAAAGTCCTGGAAGGCAGAATGTTTAAACATTTCATTTTTCAAAGCCATTTCAAAATGAGTGCTGAAGAGATCAGGGGACAACCATTATTTATCCTGTCTTTCACACCATGCCATGTAGTAGTTATGATGGCCAATTTTCAGAGCTGGTAGCAGGCATCAGCCTCTGCATCCCTCCCCCTCCCCCTGTCACTTTGAATTTGCTAGTACTGCTCTAAGATCCTATGAACTTTCTGT